TATGTAAAATTTTTATAGATTGTTGAATAGATCTGAGAAGCATGACCTTTTCTAGGGTAAAAGTATGCATACTGATGAGCTCATTTACATGAATATTCTTTACTCTTCCCAGGTGCTAAGAGTTATGGCCAAAGTAATGAAGGAGTGCTGGTATCACAATGGTGCGGCGAGGCTCACTGCATTGAGAATAAAAAAGACACTATCAACTGCCAGCAATGCTGAAGACATCAAGCTGTGATTAGAAAAAATTGAGTGGTAGTTCATACTATTTTATTATATTACCATTTTTTTTTTTAATATTTTAATTAGTTGAAATAAACGAAGACTTATAAAATAATGTGAAATGTTGTAGGGCATTTCCTGGTAAATTAACCAGACATGAATTTGTGGGTCTCTAATGAATATTTTTATTTGTGGCTGGGCATTAATATGTAAATCATGTAGTGACTCGTCACTAGAGGGCAGTCATCAAATCAATTATGGCCATTGAGAGCAGTCTTAATATGTTCGGGTTGGTGATGGTAAAGTCCCAGCAGGACTTTAAAACTTACTTTTTGGGGTGAATATTAGGAGAAACATGTTCTATTTAGTAGGAAAATGTTTTTTGTTTTATATTTGATAGAGGGCGCTATATATATTAATTTTATGACTGCATCCAAGATGTTAGGTCGTTGCTGCATTTTACAATTTATAAAAAATAATGACTTTTATGTAGTATATGATATGTAAATTAATATTTTTTTATATTTAAATATTTGTTTCAAGGAAAATTCATGCTTTTCTATAGTGAGAGATAATGCTTTTAGTTTGATCTAGGGTATGGTTATAGCCATGGACAAGGATAATTAACATTTGTACAACTAAATAGTAAATAATTTGGTCTAACGTACTATAGTAGTATGTAAGCAACATACAATTCAGATAAGAGAGTTAACATGTCTTGATTAGTTCTGTAGACCAATTCCTCGTCATTGTGAGTTTCTGCATTATGCGTACAATTAAGTGTAACAACAGGATTAAAAAGGGTCTTAGTGTCGTCTCAACATTGTGTGTGATTTGACAAATGTAAATGAATTTTTGCAAAATGTCCACACCTTATAATGTTGATTACATATTTGATGATGGTCAATTTTGATGAAGTAAGGGTATCTAAATGCCATATTCACATCTTAAAGATTGGCATTTCAAAATTGAATTATAAAAAGGGATTTTTATGGCAGTTGTTCTGTGAGCATTTTTCATGCAATATGCAAAATGTCACGATGAATGGAAATCACCTATTAATACTGAGTAGGTTTAATGAAGCAGAACTGAATTCTCATCTCTGTTATCAGTACCCAGAATCTGTTTGATTCATCGGAGATTATGTGACATCGAAGTTTGAGGCATTTGGTGGTTTTTTAATGAGAAAGGTGTCTTGTTTTGCTAAAAAGGGTTTGTGAAATATGCAGGAAATATGAAATTGGCAGTATTAAAAGACACAATATGTAAGCTATTATTTATATTTTGTGTTCCAGCTAATGAAACATTTTCCAATTTGACAGTTTTTATTTGAGAAAAATGTCTTCTCTGTCAACCTGTTCCCATGAAGCATTGCATGAACAAGTACATATGCTCCGCACATATTCAAGATGTTGAGAATTAATGGTTTATATTCAGCACATACTAATTGTTTTCATCTACCTATTGATGAGGACTTGTAAGTTTGGCTTAAGTGATTTTATAAGCTTCTCTTATCATATTGGCTGCTTATCAAGCCAATCAGATGGCACCTTGCTTGTTTTTATGCTTAGTTCATCATTCTGAATCTGCTTAGTTAAATTACTTGAAACACCAATTGGAATATTTTGGCAATAAATGTTTAGTTTTTTTTTTTAATTGGAAAAAAAAAGTTTAAAAAAAAGAAAAAAGGATATACATCAATAATTTCAGTTAGAACATGTTTAGTTCTTTTAAAAATGGAACATGCATTGTAGTTTTAACAATTCAGTCCTTTCAGTTTTAATGAAGTTTATGCTTTATTTTTTATGCTTTTAAAATTACAAATGGCAGCTGTACAAAATGTGATTTAATCCTTACAAATGGCTTCATTCACGAAAGTTTTGAATCTTGGTCTACTGATGAATGAATGGTTTGAATTGTGCACTGCAAATGCATGAATGGTTTGGATTTTGGTCTGCAAATATAGAAATGGTTTGAATTGTGCACTGCAAATACATGAATGGTTTGGATTTTGGTCTGCAAATATAGAAATGGTTTGAATTGTGCACTGCAAATGCATGAATGGTTTGGATTTTGGTCTGCAAATATAGAAATGGTTTGAATTGTGCACTGCAAATGCATGAATGGTTTGGATTTTGGTCTGCAAATATAGAAATGGTTTAAATTGTGCACTGAAAATGCATGAATAGTTTGGATTTTGGTCTACAAATACACAAATCGTGCACTACAAATGCATAAATGAAATGGTCTGATTTTACTCTGCAACGAAATGCTTGAATTGTTTAGATTTCTCTTCAAAATGCTTTAACCATAGAAGATGTATCATGAGTTGGGATGGCTTCATGAATATTCAGACCTCATTAATATTTTCACTTCTGAAGAATTAATTGAACTTGTATATTGCATATTTCCCAACAGTTTCATCAGTTGCTAAAATGGTAATTTACTTATCATTGAAGCAAATGAAAGTCTGTTTTATTTGTGTAGTGTGAATATGTATATAAATTTATTTGGTAGACTGCAGATTTTCATGAATGTTTCTGTCCGTCAATTTTACTTTATTTACCACAGTTGTTAGCGTACTATGTTACTTCATACAAGATATGGAAAACCTGTTTTGTGTTGTTTGTTTTTTAAATGTATTTGCAAAATAAAATTGTCTATCTGGTGCAAAACAAACATACGAGTTACTGAAAGTGTTTGTGCATTCCAGTCGCTAACTTGGTAATGTGTGTGAGATAAATAAGTGTCGCTGTTGTCATATTCCATATTGCTTCTTTGTTATGTAAATAATGTGTATAAAAAAAAAAAACTTACACAAAACTGGATTGCACGCTGCACTGCAACTGGTTTTTGCTTTTACTTACCGGTAATTGAAAATGACCTGCTAATATGCATGGGTATCATGTGACTTGTGTAAAATGCATTTCAATCATTGTGTGACATTTCAATCATTACTTCAACCAATTAGATAAGTGATTGAATGGCAGAGAATCTGTATAATGCAAGTTTTATATTGAGTCACTTGGTATTTCATTACCATTGTAACCCTGCACAGAGTTCAACCAAGAATATAAATTTTACCAGTTTTGAGAACATATTCTGTTCAACTGCAGCAACTTGTGAACTTTGCTCTCTAAAACTGAAATTGATGAAGAAACTACAAATTGTTTTTGATTGTGAACTATGCGTTTTCAACATTTGCCTCTGAAGTGGAGGACAATATGCATATTATGTACATTGCTGGCTTCAGTACGGTGATCCTTTCTGATGTAAAAATGATGTTATAGATCAGTGCCAGCAGTATCACGCTACTCTGGCCGTGCAGTCCTTCAGAATAAAATAAATCTCCAAAGTGTTTTGTTATTGACATGTGACCACAGGTCAAACACTTATTACGTCAAACAAGCGTCTCATTACAAGATGGCACCATTCCTATAAATTGCTTCCTCTGGTGACGGAATGTTTCTGTGACATCAAAATAACTTGTATGGTTTAAGGCAACGCCATTCAAATTGATCGCTGTGTTTGGTTGTGTAGTCGTGCATCATCTAAAATATGATAAAATCTCTAAAAAATATATTGATTATTGATGGAAATCTACAGATCAAAATGATATCTTTGAATGACATTTGTGTCACTCATTTTGCATCACGGAAAGGCCTTTACTACTGGTACGTAGATGTCCCGATATTTTGGACTTCAAAAACAATCTGATCTAGATGATCATTCAAATTTACCATGCGACTGCATATTTAATTTTTGTTTATTTAATGACAATATCCCATTCTTCAATTATCATTAGAGGAAATGATTTCTGAGGCAACTGGTGATTTATTTTTGTTGCGATTGATCATTTACAACTTCCTGGAAGCAAGATGTTTTCTTATTCACCATATCGTAGTTGTTTTGGGTGGGGTGACTTTCAGATTTGTTACATTTACATAACAATTTGCATGTGCTGTTGATCATTCTGTTACCATGTGTGTTTGAGTTTTTACAAATCACCTCCTTAATATTACTTCCTTTATCTCAGTTTTTTTCTACCACTTCGTCGTTCTTCGTTGAAAGTTTATACTGTTTTAATATCACTGTTGGTAATTGAAGATTCTTACATACTTTCAACTATTTTTCTTTTCGTATTTACCGACAGATAGTTTCGATTATTATAGTTCCCCCAAATATTCCACACTGAGTGACATGTATGTACCTCTGCCAAGACTGATTTTGTTTTCCAGTGAAAGTTAGACCATGGGAGTCGTCACCTGTGCATGCATCATATGGCCATAGCGTGTCATTGTTTACAAACAAGCGTCTACCCATAAGCCTTTGCATTTCTAGCGTGGGTTAACATCGCTTGTGACACAATTCCCGCGTATGCGCAGGTGACGACCCTCCCGCTTTAATAGAATGCATTATTACATTTGAATCTGCTAAAATCAAACCAAATGAACGTTTCTCTCTCAGTACGCAACATGTGCAAAATACACGAGTGTTCTACCATGACCACTAATATCAAATTCAATGGCAAGACTTAATTTTCTTGCCAACAAATTGTTTAAAATTGACTTTAGATCAAGTGATGAGAATTTGGATTAATTATGGACATTCTGATTTTAATTTTAACTGTATATAGCTTTTTGGTTTTTATGTACTAATACGTGTTATTGGAGATACATGTACAATGGATGTTGTATATACATAACACCAATGCAATTCTCGTTATCGCGTAAATCAATCACTAAGACCCTGAATTGTTGGAGTGTGCACATCATTGTATTCAGAACACATTTGCGTGTAAGGGACTGGTCATTTTCTTTGGCCGAGGCTGTTCTGATTTCACAAAAGTATGAAAAGACGTTGCCCCCCCCCCATCTCAAGCAAAAACTAAACGGGGTGACCCCCCTCCCTATCTTACCAATTAATGAAAGGATAGGTACAGAGACAATTTTTCTGATTTGTAAATCCAAAATAAATATATATCGATTCCATATTCATAAACTATTTATTAATTAATATCCCTTAATCTTTATCTAAACAGTAATCTTTACCCTTTTAGTAACATTTTCTTAGTATGTTGGGTTTGTGATATTTGTACAAATATTATTTGACTTACTGAACTTTTATATATTGTCTGCATAGAGATAATTATTAATATGTAATCAGTTGTGGATGTGGTAGAATTATTTTATCCAGTATTTACAGTAGATATCAATTTGAATTTTTTGTTGACTTTGTATTCTTATTAGGATTTTGATTCTGGTGTACAATAAATTGTCAAATATACCAACACAACAAAAAAAGCAGTTAAAGATGTAATATGGATGAAAATGTATATTTTTTTTTAATATTGATACTTCATACTGTAGACCAAATCTGAATATGATTCAGATAACAAATCTAAACTACTAATACACTTGTCAGTTAACAGCACTTGAAATATGACAGTTTGACGAAGGCTTGGCATGGGGAAGCCAATTAGAGTTTTCATTGTAAAAGAAAGCAAACCCACTGATTTTTACGAATGTATTTTAGTTCAAAATATGTTGGAATAAAATTATGTTTACTGTTTACTACTTTCCAGCATAGCTTACCCAGGGTATTGATGGATGTATGCTTACTTCTTGAATGTCTCTTATTTGGGTAATTGCTAGGATCCTGTACCACTGACTATGATCTATTTTCAGTATAACTTACCCAGGGTATTGATGGATGTATACTTACCTCTTGAATGTCCTAAATTTAGAGCATATTTCTAATGGTCAACCCTTTATTTGTGTAATTGCCTAGGATCCTGTATCACTGACTATGATCTATTTTCAGTATAACTTACCCAGGGTATTGATGGATGTATACTTACCTCTTGAATGTCCTAAATTTAGAGCATATTTCTAATGGTCAACCCTTTATCTGGGTAATTGCCTAAGCTCCTTTACCACTGACTATGATATAGTTCCAGTATAGCTTACCCAAGGTAAGGATGGATGTATGCTTACCTCTTGAATGTCCTAAATTTAGAGCATATTTCTAATGGTCAACCTCGTATCTGGGTAATTGCCTAGGATCCTGTATCACTGACTATGATCTATTTCCAGCATAGCTTACCCAGGGTAATGATGGATTTATACTTACCTCT